ATACTATAGCAAACTCCAGGGCAGTTGTGAAGAGATCTCTTGATACTGACTGGCAATAATCCACAATATCAAACTGTATTAGGGTGCAATCAGGTTTATTGTCGAAGTTGGTAAACCAATTGATGACATCTTTGGTATTAATCCAGAGTATTAATCCAAGGCATTTTTTGATTTGCCTAGTGATCCTTTCTAGGATTCTTTTGCTTATCTTTCCTATGTCGGGTCTGGTTGGGTTTATCATTATGGTAGTGGGGTCTTCCTCAAAATCTTGTTTGCAGTCCTTAAGAGTGGTGTAGCATTCCTTTTCAGCCAGTTTGCCTACCCCATCACTTTTTTTAATTTTTCAGTAATAATCTTAATTAGCAAAGATACATCTTAGGTAGGCTGGTCAAGTTGGGAGAATGGATGAGCATAGTCTTCCCAAAAAGGTGCTGTATGGACAACTACCAAACTCCCTTTTTGGACATCCACTCTTACGTTACAAAGACAAATTGAAAGACAACTTGAAACATCTCAATTTTGATCTGAACAGCTGGTAAGTCCAAGCATCAAATCAAAAGGAGTGGCATATGGCATGTTTCATTAAGTTAAAGGGTTTTGAAGACAGAAAATTGAAGCACTGTGATCAGCTTCATCAAGCTCTGAATCAGAGATGCCATCAAAATCATTCTTCAACAAATTTCATCTGTCAGTGTAGCTTTTTTTTATATGTATATATATATATATATATATATATATATATAAATAAATATATATATATATATATATATATATATATATATAAAATATATATATATAAATAAAATATATGTATATAAATAAAAAGAAAGAACAGTAAGATATATAATTGTGTTCTTATAGATATTTTTATTTTTACAAAATAGTGCTCAATGTAAATTTACAGAGCATTAATATTATAAATTAATTGATTTAAAATATGTTTTTTTTCGCTACACAGTTCTAACCATGTTTCAAAAATGGAAGCTAAAAGCCCTGAATTTAATTTTGTAATTAAATTAAAAACATTAGTTCCATGTCATCCTCAAGCGAATTTTGGAGTAACTTTTAAAATTACTGTGTTTTAAAGACACAGCTAAAATCATAATTCATGTTTCCAAGATTACAGATAAATCCACTTCACTAGACAAGGGGTGTCTTATTCAATTCACACAAAATTTTCACACAATGTTGGCAACACTGAACTGCGCAATCGATGAAATTTTTGAACTGATTTGCGCAATGTAAACAAACTGGTGCCATATTTGTTATCAGCACGGTGATTTGAGTGTGCCAAATTATTAGAAAGGTTTAGTAAAATTGAGCAAACTAAACAAAACGTTTATTAATGTTGATTATTATCAATGAGTTTGATGAAAAGCTTCTTGAAGCAGCCCTTGAAGAAAATCCTGCTTTATCAGTTGAGGAATTGGCAGTGGTTCTCAGTTCAAACTATACAACTGTTCATCGTCATCTTCAACAACTTGGAAAAGTTCCTAAACTTGGAAAATGGGTGCCTCATGAATTGTCTGAAAACAACCTCAAATCCTGAGTTGACATCTGCTCTTCTCTCCATTCTTGCCAACTTGTTTCACTTTTTTTGGATAGACTTGTGACTGGCGATGAAAAATGGATCTTTTATCGAAATGTTAAGCGTCGTAGACAGTGGCTTGGTAAAGGGGAAGGACCCCAGCCACAGCCAAGAAGGGAACTTCATGGGCAAAAGGTTCTTCTTTCAATCTGGTGGGATTGCCAAGGAATAATCCACTTTGAATTCTTACCACCTAATACAACAATTAATGCTCAAATATACTGTCAGCAATTAGAACGTTTGAACCAAGCTTTGAAGAAAAAAAGACCTGCTCTGGTGAATTGAAAAGAGGTGGTTTCATCAGGACAATGTGCGATCCCACACAGCAAGAATCACATCACAAAAGATCGAAGAACTTGGTTGGGAGAAAATTCCTCATCCACCTTATTCTCCCGATCTTGCTCCTTCAGACTACCATTTGTTTTGTAGCTTATAGAATCATTTGGAAGAAACAGCTTTTGTAACACAGGAAGAGGTTAAAACTGACATTTGTGAGTTCTTCGAATCAAAGCCAAAATAATTTTACAGTAATGGAATTAGTAAGCTTGTTAATAGATGGAAGGAAGTCATAGATAATTAGGGAAAATACATTGTTGATTGAATCTGTAATTAAATGTAATATTTGGTCACTTGTTTTCTTTATTCAAAATTCAGACAGAACTTATGGGATGACCATATATATATATATATATATTATATACATATGTCAGTGCTGCATTGAAGTTAATAATCCATTCTGGCAGTTATTTTGGTAGGAGTTCCTTGTTTGTTTATTTATTTATTTGTTTACTTATTTGGGTTAATTTATTTTACTTGTTTTCATTTATTTTCATTTTTAATTATATATATTTATTTATTCTTTTCAGTTTTCGATGTTTTATTAACGTGGTAAAATTTTTTTTGCATAGGTTGATTATTTAATTTCTTGAGATTTTACAATAAAAATGCATTGAAACTAGAAGGGAAACAATTTTAACTGGTCAAGAATTAATGCAAATATTATTGAGAGAATAGGACTGTTATATATATAATGTCGACACCTTGCTTGAAATTTTACAATAAAAATGCTTCGAAACTAGAAGGAAACGAATTTTCAATGGTCAGGAATTAATGTAAACATTACTGAGAAAATAGGACTTTTATATGTATCATGCCAACAGTTTGCATCTTATTTTACAAAAAAAAACAAAAAAAATGGATTATATGTATAATGTCAGTATCTTGTCTGGGATTTTACAATAAAAGTATTTTAAAATTATTAATTATTATTTTTTCTTTTAATGTAGTTGGTGATTAAAGTTATATTCCATTTTTCCATACTGTTTAATTAATCACACTCAGATAAATTGTTATTAATTGCACTGACTTTAATTTCTAATCAAGCAGGTTATTATTAAAGTTTGTTTTCAAATAGTTTTTTTTATCGCAGATATTTTCCAGATGCATCTTGTTGATAAGCAACTGATCTTTGCAGCCATAAGAACATTTTTTACTTTTCAAAGTTTGAGCATTTTGGATATAGTAGATAAACATCTGATTGTTCAGTAATTTTTTTTTTTTTTTTTGATGGTGGAGGCAGCAGAACAGTTTAATCTTTTTGGGGAATAATCATCTTGCATTAGCCAATCCATAATTAACAGAGATTATATGAGTTTCATTATCTCTATTTGTAATGTGTAATATCTTACTCCTGTTCATTTATTAAATTACAACATTTATGCTGCTATAATTCCCAATTTGTTCATGTTCACATTCTACAGGGTGCAGGACAACTCAACACCACCAACTGAATGCTGGGACAACTCAGAACCGAGAAAACTCAGCACCAGAAAAATGTAGCTTTTTTATAACCAAATACAATTTATTAAGGACGAGCAGTATAGCCCGGGGATGTAACAGTAAGAAATAGATCAAGTATCCACCATCATAAAGACTGAAAAATAAAATTGACAAAGATTATTGTTTAAGGTTGATGGACACACATGTTTATATTAGTTTTTTTTTTTTTTTTTTTTAATTGGTCAAACTCGAACAAAAACATTGTTTTCAATCGTTATGAGTCTACCGATTGAATAGAATTTTATTATAAACAATTGTCTTGTAAATGGAATTTTTAAAACATTCTGAATGTAAAAATAAAGAAAAAAGTGTGCAAGACAATAAGAAACACTACCTACCAAAAAAGAAAAGTGAAGTTTTGTCGAAATCAGTTGAAAAATGTAGGAAATCCGATCCCATATATAAGCGAACACACACACACACACACAAACAAACAACCTGGGTTTTATAATAAGTATAACTCGATATGAGTTGTCCTCCTTTCATTCTCACAATGACTCTTAATCGTGTTTTCAAATTGATTTCGTACAAAAACAATTGTATTTTTCCAATTTTTGGCACTGTCAGAACCACTGCAAGGTAATTTTACATAGTCCTGTGAAGTTTTGTTGAAAACGGTTGAAAAATGTAGGAAATACAATCCCATAAACGAACAGACACACACACACACAATCTGCGTAAGATTAAAAACATAATTAGTGAATATTCTTACTTTATTAAAAAATAAATTTCTTTATGATTTACTTTATTAGAAATAATTAAAAAAATATTCACCAATTAAGGTTTTAATCCTTAATAAATTACTTTTATCCAGTTTTAAAAAAGTTATGTTTTTATGGTCCTGAGTTGTCTCAGTTTTGTCTTGTCCTGGCACTCAGTAGTGTTTAGTTGTCACTTCTCACATCTCACAAGGCTATACAGAATTTTGACTGGAAAAAATTTCAATAAAAGAAGACTAGAGAATTAACTTGTTGAAACACTGTTGACAAAAAAATATGTAAATTTATTCTTTATTTTAATAATTTGACAAGAATATTTTTTTGTTTGAATAAAAAATATGGTTGTTTTAAAATTACAAAGTGTGTTAGAAAAAGACATATTATAACTAAAAATCTTTTATAAAATATTGAAGCACAATATATATAAAAATATTGAGAATAAATGTATCTATGTGCTCTTCCAAGTTATTATGAAAATATTGCTTCCTAGCACTTCTATCTCAGATAGGCGTAACATCTCTGTTGCACGCACGCACAATGATAAAATATAGTTTTAAGGAATGCTATACTTATGGGTTAAAATTGCTCAACATCAGGGACAGAGCATATGTAAATATAAAAGTGGATACTGAAGTCAACACCCAGAGGCAACAGTTTGTATCATACTAAACACAATCAGGTCATGTGTTTATACATGAAACAGACTGTCATTGCTGGGTATTGACCCCAATGTTATATTTTCATATTTTATATTTACATATGCTCTATCTCTGATAATGAGCACTTTAACCCATAAATATAGCATACATTGAAACTATATTTTACAATATAAAAGAGAGAGAACAGACATGCTATCAACTACTTTTTTTATTGCCACATGACAAGGAATATTGGGAAAAGGCTACAGAAAGAAAGTGCAAAGAATAAAAGTTAGAGGATAAGAAAGAAAGCAAGGGAAAATGAAAAGAACCTCAGATAACAGGAACAAAGGAAGGGATGAAAATGAAATAAAGATAAAGACATATGCTGTCTTTAGGTTTATTATTCATTTCATCTTTTTAAGGTTGGTGAGGCATTAATGTTTTTTTTGGAGGGGGGTTGCCTGGGTAGCATGATACAAACTTTACATAGAAACACAGAGTTGAAAACATCTTTTCAATTTGACAGAAAGTTTCAAGAAGGAACAAGTAGGAAAATATTTATAAATTTGACATGTTTTGCCATTTATTTGGCTTCATCTGTAATCTTGGAATTAGAATAATTCAGTATTGTTTTGATTTTTAAATCTATGTAGTTTTGTTTTCATTGGTTGTGCAGATGTCACATGTTCATTTTATAGCATTAGTATGCATTAGTTTTGTTGTGTGAGTGTCATGTGATTAACTTATGGTGTTTGTGTTTAATTTTTAGAGTGTTAGCATAATTTAAGTGTCTAGTGTAAATTGATTATATATCAATGTATTTTAATTGTACAATAATTATGATGAATATTGATAGTTAATGTGTAATACTAGGTTATATCATTTGTGAATTTAACCATAGGGAGGTAGGTCAATACTATGGTACTGCTACAGTATGATACTGATATAGTATGGTAGTGATATACTATGGTGCTGCTACAGTATGGTAATGATATACTATGGTACTGATACAGTATGATACTGATATAGTATTGTACTGACATACTATGGAACTGATATAGTATTGACATAGAAATATGAATAAGCATTATCAACACTGCTAATTATTAATTTTAAATTTCATTTGAATATTTTATTAATTGGTATATCATAAATTTCCACAGGTTGTTGATCTATAGCAGTGAATAGATGCCATCTATAATATTGCTGGTAATAATGCTATTACTATAAAAGACAAAAACATATAGCAATGAAAAACTGTGGACTAGAGTGATGGGTTTAAGGCTAGATTTGATTTTCTGTGAATAAGGAATAATCTTCATTTCCTACTAATGCTTCTTTCACTCATATTACACCTCACTCATTATAATGATTTTAACAGTAACCTCTAGAGGCTTGTATTGGGTGAAGTTTTGTGTATATATATATATATATATATAATTATTTATTTAAAAATATGATTCCAAATCGCTACATAAGAAGTCTCATGTTTCAAAACAAGAGCCGAAAAGTTCAATATAATTAATTAAATTAAATTGAGCCAAAATAAGCTCTGTTCCATCTTCAAGCGAAATTTTTAAAAATTTTGCTTGAAGATGGAACAGAGCAGGGACTGGGAAAATTTTGTCTTCGATCCATATGGGTACCACATGTTTAATGGATCATGAGTCACATCCTGTCACTGTAATTTTGAGAGTTAGGTAAATAGAAACAATCACAACTGCTGATATATTAACATACTTCGCCCCCACTCCAAGATAAAATGTACTATCAGTTCAAGTCTTACTAAAGGGTTCTTTCATATTTCCAATGCATGCTGGTTACTCGCTGCTGTAGATTGATAGCTTGAGTAAAGTTGTGATAAAAAAATAACTACGCAAATCAGGATGGAAATAGGCAGATGTCAAAATGAATCATAATAATGTTGGCAGAAAGTAAGTATAAGCAAATAAGAGAGAAACCTAGCAGATTCAATAATGTAAATATCAAGTTGCTTTTAGATGTTCATCATGACAGATACTATATTCAGTAAGTCAACTGAATTCCATACATATGCTGCAAATGTGTTTTAAGTTCTATTTTATCCGTTGCATCAAGTGTCTCAATCCAATGTTGCTCAAAGCTTGATTTGGCCTTATCCAAAGAATCAAACTTATAAATCAGATCAGCGAGAAATATCATCCATGGCAGCATCAAATTGCTGTGACCAAGTTCTTTGAGAGCCAACAGGATTCTTGAAATTCGAAGGAAATTGTGGTTGCCCCTAAAAAAATAGAAAAAAAAAAGAAACAATCATAAATTTTTGTAAGCTAATAATACTATATTAATAATATTATACAGGGTGTCCATAAAAATTTATAACTTTATTAGTATTTGCGATAGAAATAATCTGTAAAAAATGTTATAAAGTTTTATGTACTTAGTTTTAAGTATGGCTAAAATAAATAATGTGATTTCAGGCATTTACTGTAAATAAGTTGGCAAATTTTTTTCTGTGAACTGCAAAATCATATTACCTTTTGTATTGCT